AGGGGAAAAAAAAAAAAGTCAAGTCCTAGAAGTCATAATTGAGATACTGATCCAGAAGAGCTATCAGACACTCCTCAGATGCTTAGGAAGAAAGGAGTTGGATGACCTTTCCTCACGAAGTTTCTCCATCTCTCCAGTATGATTAATCTGCACACCCAGAAGAGGGATGCTCTAAAGCTTTACACAGGAATACTGAACCTAATTACCCACATGTGGTTAATTTTTCTGGTTACTTCCATTAATAATCACTCACTATTCTGCTTCCTTCCTAACATTGCTGAGCCTTGTCAGCTCACCAGATTATCATTTAATTGCTCAAGAGGGGGGAAAAACAATTATTAAATCATTATTATTATTTGTTATGCTTTGTTTCAAAGTTTTGTTTGTTTACTACAGGGCATGTGCTCTCGCCAAAGAGAGGGAAAGTGAGAAATCAGCCCCAAGGGAGGACGGTCATGCCAATCCCTTTTCTTCTATACTCCTGTCAACATTCAGGTGATTCTCAAGCTGCTGGGTCCATCTGGAACTGTGAAGCTGGCTGTGTAGGATCCAGTGCCTTAACCTCCACGCCACCTGCAGGCCCTAAATTCTTATAAATGAGCCAAAATTAAAACTGCCTAGGGGGACCAGCAGATGGTGTGTAATGGTTATGTCACTGGACTCACACCAAATCGACAGAGGTTTCAGTCCCAGACCCTGTGGCTTAAAACTCACACTGAGGATGTGAGTGCGTGCCCAAAATCCGGAAAGGAGAATGGAGAAGGGATTCCAGTGTGACCAATTCTTTCCACAGGGACGGGGCAGCCTATGATCCTGAAAGTCGAGAAATTCAGTGGGTGGCAAACGTGGAAGCGCTCCCAGCGGGAGGGGCTGGCCCTTTCACAGGCCTGGGAGACCAGAGCTCACAGGCCGCGCCTACGCGGAAAGGATACGCTCCAGGTAGTAGGCGCCCTCGGCGGCCACCGCCTCCGCCGTGTCTCGGGCGGCCGTCAAACCCATGCCCAGTGCTTCTTCCAGGACTCGCAGGCCCGAGCTGCGCATCTCCGGCTGGCTGGCCATCTGCGGCGCTCCGGGCACCCGCCCCCGGCTGGCCCCTACGGTCCCTAAGGGCAACCGCGAAGACGCTCTGACGGCCACACGCAGATCTCGCGAGACCCCGATACTGCCTCACGAGTTCCGCGGGTCCCGCGATTGGCACAGAAGGGTTCTCTGAGATCCGTTGTTTCCCGGTTACCCGGACGACGTCGTTGCCTAGTTACCCTGAGACCAGGCGACGCCGCTCTGAGGGCGGACAACGTGTGAGAAACCAGTCAACTTGGATTACATTTTACCGAGGCTGCTTGGTTTTCTTTCGCTTTGACCCTGTCATTTTGTTTCTCACATTGTTTCTTCCCCTAACTTGCCTTTCTCGTGGTTCTTACATGCCCATTGTCAGTCCCTGAATTTTATGTTTGCAGATTCCCAGTCATTCCCAGGCAAAAGGAGGAGATACTCAGTGACTGGAGAAGGGGGAAAAAAGGAAAAGAACAAAAGTGTTAGAAACTGTCGTTCAGAGACTGAGCTAAGGGAGCGATCAGATGCTCTTTGGATGCTTAGTAATAAAAAGGGAGGGTATTCGGGGTAGTCAGTTCCTTTAATGCATTTATCTGGACATCTGTTTTGATTTTATTTTTATACCTTAGTACTTGGAATAGAATTTGTGGTATCGATGCTTGCCACGGTAAAGACTTTTTAATAAAAATTATGCTACAAATGGCCCTAAAATAATATATGATAGATGCTATTTGCTCAGTCCCGTGTGATCCTATTACTATGACAGGATCTTTCCCAGGTTTAAACAAGTTGTGTATGTATTAGAGGCATCTTCACGACCATCCACCCTCGCTTTTGCAGATTATTTTCTATTATACATTTTCCTGATGGAAACTAAATGCTAAACAATGACTCCCATTTATTAAAAAAAAAAAAAAAAGATAACTTTCTAAGGTGGTGATTAACAGCTTGAGTGTTAGAGTCCAAGAGGCTGATGCTTGGAGCCTGGTTCTATAGAGAACTAGCTACCAAATCCTGGACGAACTATTTAATGCCTAGGGGCCTCAGTTGCATCATTTGTAAAATGAGAGAATAAAATACTACCTACCTCAGTGTTGTTCAGCATGGTAAAATAACATAAAGCAATAAGAACTTGCCACGCCCATAATAAACACTAAGAATTGTGTTGTTTCTACTAAATCTAATTGTTTCGTTTTTTAGGATGATGAAGGTCACAATTAGATGTCATGGTGAAAGAATTCATTTTTGCTGTTTATTCTTGTACTTATTATTTGTCTTACATGTGTGTCCCACTTCTCATGTGAATGCTCATTAAAAACATTTATAGGTGGCTGGAAGTATAGGATAGAAATTCTGAAGTTAGGGAATTCACTGCTTTTATAAAAATTCTGGGGGGGTGGTGGTTTAAGGTTTTTGCCATTGGGTGCATATGCTTAGTGAAGAGGAGAGAGACAGTGAGAGGAAAAGTGAGAAATTATCCCCCAGTGGGGACGACCTCTATTCTCCTCACAGGATTTTGGGCACAAGCGCACATGTACCTGACATGATTTTCATGCTGCTGGGTCTGGAACTTGAACTGCGGTCGGTCATGTGGAAGTTCAGCTCCCTAACCACAAGACTACCTGTTGGCCCCAAAAAAACTCTTTGTTTCAGGAGGAGGTAGCACCTCATCCGTTAATGCTGTTTCTTGTAAATCCTTCCCTGAAAATTGACCTGGAAAAGAAATGGTCAGTAACTCGCATTTTTGGCATATCCAGTAAAATAGGTTGCCCGGGTCCAGCCTCGGAGTGGGTGGGTTATCTCGACAGAGGCGGCGAAGGTGAACAGAAGACAGAGGCCTCGATGCCTTTTCATGCACGTCCTTTGCCGGACAACCCTCAGAGATCGCTCTCTGAGGAGTGACAACTGCTAGGAATTATTGTGCCTTTTTATTGAAAGTGTGATACATGCAAGTAAATGGGTGAGGGGCAGTAAAAGATTTACTCTAAGGAACAGGGTATATAAAGCATGGAAGCAATAATTATAAAACATGCTGTTTGTCTTGTCAGATTAGGTAAAAATTAATCACAGTTTTGAGGAAATCTATTTGTCTGTTGTATCTTCTTAGATCTTGATTACTGGGGAAGGGTATTT